ATCAAGAAATTCCATCAATGCATTTGCTCATTTAGAATTGTAGAGGAGCAGGCAACCATAGATTCAAACGGAATCTGAGGGAGTTAGTCCAAATTCACAGACCAAAACTGATGGTACTTATGGAAACTAAAGTGGAATTCAAAGAAATGGGAATGTTCTTCAATTGAATGGGCTTCACAGCCTCAAGCCATGTGGATCCTACCGGTCAAAGTGGAGGAATTTGGATGCTCTGAAACCCTAATGTTGTTAATGTTAGGGTGGTAAAAGCTAGCTCGCAACAAATTACAGCGACCATCTCAAGGCAAGATTACCTCGATTGGCTGCTATCAGCTGTCTATGCCAACCCAAGTTGTGTCAAGAGAGATGAACTTTGGAAACAACTGGAGGCCATTGCTCAACACACGACTGACCCCTGGTTAGTTACTGGAGATTTTAATGATTTTGCCTCCTCTAATGACAAAAGAAGTTTCCATGGAATGAGCCACCAGACCTTAAGCCAAGACCAGAGGAGGAGTAGAAAGTTCAATGACAGAATTGACAACTGCAAGCTGATGGATCTAGGATGTGCAGGACCAAGACTGACCTGGTCCAATAATAGGAAAGGTTGGGCCAACGCTATGGTAAAATTGGACAGGGTTATGTGCAACACCGAATGGAGAACTACCTTTTCCATATGGAGCTATGAGAAACCTCCCTCGCACTTACTCAGACCACTCACCCATGATAGTGTTCACTGAAGGTAAGTCCCCATTCATTTCTACTTGTAAACCCTTTAAATTTTTGGCTGCTTGGATCACTCATAAGGATTTTAAGAAGGTGGTGGATGTTTGCTAGAGTAAAACTCACAACTCTCTGTGTTCTAACTTACAAACACTTAGCCAAGAGGCTAGTGTTTGGAACAAGGAGGTGTCTGGGAACATTTTTCGTAGGAAGAGGCGTATTGAAGGCATACAAGCATCTCAAGCCATCAATTACTCTCATAACATCCATGACCTTGAGCTGGATTTGGTTGATCAGTACAATACAATCTTATATCAAAAAGAGCTATTGTGGTTCCAAAAAGCTCAAGCTAATTGAATTACTCAAGGAGAGAGGAATACTAAGTATTTCCACCTTACTACCCTGAATAAAAGGAGGAGAAGGAAGATTGAGATGCTTAAAGATGATAATGGTTTTTGGGTTGACCAGGTTGATCAACTCAAAAACCTCATCAATTCTTACGTTGTTGATCTATTTAGTGATTCTCAAACTGTCTCTCTTGCTCAGTGGTCCAACCTAGTGAGATATAAAATCAACCATGAGGACAACTTGGACCTCATTAGGCCTTTATCTGATGGTGAGATTTGGAAGGCTATGAAACACATTAGTGCCTTTAAAGTCCCTGGGAGGGATGGATTTCAAGCCTTGTTTTATCACATCTATTGGGACATTATTGGTCTTCATGTTTGTGAATTTGTTAAAAATTGTTTCGCTGAAAAACAAATTCCTCCATTACTTTACTTGTTAATACATTGTAAATTCTCAAAAGAAAAATATTAAAACCCTCAATTTTATCCAAAATAACATGATCAGTTATGTGTGAATTTTTAATTTGTCTAAATTCAAAATTGTTGCAGTATCATTATTAATGAATTATAGAATTTAAATTGTGAGTATTTAATATTTCTTCTCAAAAGATTGGATAGTTAATGAACAAATCTTTCATAAATTTGTTAACCAACTTGCACATCGCTAACCAAAAAAAAAAGTATATTATATTATGATTTTTTTTTATGATCTTACAAAGTGTTTGTAATTTTTTTTTTAAAACTCTTTTTTGATAAATGAAAGCAACCTAGTTTTCAGATTGGGCCAGTGTCCTTCATCCCAGAGGCAAGTTGAGGCCTGAAATGAAGCCCATAGCCAATACAAGATTTGGGCGGGCCCGTAAATTGGGCTGAGCCCAGAGAAATTCTGAGGCACTCCTCCGATGCCTTTCTGTTGCAAACTTTCCGAAATCTCTTGATTATTTTTTCATTTTGATCTTTAATGGTATTTTTTTCCTTCTTTACTTTGATCATTCATGTTTTCACTTCTTTTTTTTAAATTATTTTTTATTTAAAATTATACAAAAAATATAACATTAATTGTCACATAATATACAAAATGTATTAGTAGAGTTTAAATTTGTGTTGTATGAATAATAAAAGATTTTTATATTGCGCAACTGTTAATAATTTATTTTTTATCTAATTTTAGATAGAAATTAACTTTAAACATAAATTAAAATAGTCTTGAAACATGAAAAGTAAAGGATCAATTTTTTTGAAGAAATATCACATGGGTTTAAACAAAGAATTATAAATTAATAAAAAAAATTGATACATATTAATAATTATAATTATAATTTTTTTCATGTATATATATTTTAAATTTTTTATATTAGTGTGTAATAACTTCAACAACAAAAAAAAAGGGGGAGATTTATTAAGAAAATCTTTTTTCAAGTATTTATATTTCAATTAGTTCATAATATATCTTTATATTTCAATAAGTTTTATTATTTAGACATTTGATTCATCAAATTATAATTCTCATATTTAAAGTATTTTACGAATAATTTTTTTCTTACAAATATTCTTTGAACGATTAGTAACTTAGTGATGTAAACGTTCATATTTTACTATATGAATATTCACATTGATGGTGTGAACATTCACATTAGCAATGTGAACGTTTATATTTTACGATATGAATATTCATATGGACAATGTGAACGTTCATATTTTACGATGTAAATATTCATATTGACATTTACATTAACAGTGTGAATGTTCACATATGGAATATTTACACTGTTAATATGAGTATTATTATTAAAAAGATTTTAATAATTATGCCACTTATAAAATTTATTAGAATATAAAAAAACAACTTGAAAATAGTAATTTATGAATAATTTTTTCAAAAAAAAAAAATGTAAGGACTAAAGTAAAAAATGACCAAAGGTGTAATTTATCCAAATCTTGGGGAGCGATAGCTGGAGCCATGGGGTGTTTTTATTTAGGAAAATGCATGAGACCCCCCACTGGGGGTGCTGGGGGTCCCTTTTGATTGGTCCAAAAAAATAATTTTTTTTTTCTTCCATTGCCAGCCCCCACGTGGAGGTGGGGGTGTAATTTTGTCAAACCTGGAGAGGTGTATATGTAATTTGCCCTATATTTTACGATATGAATATTCATATGGACAATATGAACGTTCATATTTTACGATGTGAATATTCATATTGACATTTACATTAACAGTGTGAATGTTCACATACGGAATATTTACACTGTTAATATGAGTATTATTATTAAAAAGATTTTAATAATTATGCCACTTATAAAATTTATTAGAATATAAAAAAATAACTTGAAAATAGTAATTTATGAATAATTTTTTCAAAAAAAAAAAATGTAAGGACTAAAGTAAAAAATGACCAAAGGTGTAATTTATCCAAATCTTGGGGAGCGATAGCTGGAGCCATGGTGTGTTTTTATTTAGGAAAATGCATGAGACCCCCCAGTGGGGGTGCTGGGGTCCCTTTTGATTGGCCCAAAACCCTTTTTTTTTTTTTTTTTCTTTTGTTTTCAGCCATTGGCAGCCCCCACGTGGAGGTGGGGGTGCTGGGGGTCCCAACATTACCGTTTTATTTATACACCACCTTTTATCTCAAGACACACCATTTAAAAAAATATATATATATATATATATATAATTACAATTATATCTCTCAATTAAATATCCAAATTACCTTCCTTTTTTTCCTGAAACCCTAACAGCCACCCCTTACCTCACCGAAAATGTATCCTTGCCGTTATCACTCCCAGCACAATGTCAACCATCTCCTAGCTTCTCACTTTCCTGATCTTTCTCCACAACCACTTCACAAATAATATCACTCTTATTCCCGTCGCCCTTTTTCACCCCACCATTCTTCAATTTTCTTAGAACCACCGCAACCCCTCCATCTCCAACCAGAACCATCATCTTCTCCTTTACCTTGCGCACAACCACCACCTCTCCCATTTTCTTCTTCTAAAACCATAGCCCTCTTCCACCGTCCACCACTCCTAGATTGCAAACCAAGTTCGGTTTATAACATCCGAATTCGCAACTGAAGTTCGTTTTGCAACTTTCGAACATTGTAAACCAATTCAAAAGACAGTATTAGAACAATGATAATTTGTTTGATGCTGGTTTGCTGCCATTATCTCTCCACTCTTTTGTTGAATCTCTCTATTTTTTTCTTACTTGAGATTTGTAGGGTTAGGGGTTGTGGCATTGACAAAAGAGGGTTGGGGAAGGGGTGGCAGAAAATAGGAGAGAGTTGGGAAGAATTGACGAGAAAAAGAGATGGCTAGATAGGGGAAGAGGCAGTGTCTACGATGGAGAAAAGAAGGGACCGGGGAGTGAAAGTATTGGTGACGACGAAGAGAGAGGGGCCACACCGGCGCTGGCGACGGAGTTGGATTACAGGGGGTGGTGGGGTGTATGACTAAGGGTAAAAATGAAACATTGTGGTATGTATTGAACAAATTTTTTATTTTTAAATTATTAAAATATGCCTTGAGTAATGGTGTACGTTAAGAAAAAAATGTGGGTTAAATGGGATATTTACCAATAAATCCCATCTTATAAACAAGTACTCCAATTAATCTCAAATTTTTTCTATTGATCTATTAAGTCTTATCAGTCAAGAGTTTCTCTCCGTATGGTCATATTTTTTATTTTGGTTGTATTTTGGTAGACAATTATACCATTTTATTAATGTGACAGGTATGATGTGATACTCCAATGTGACAGATATTAACTCACACTCTAACGATATGACACTCTAAAAAAATTAAAAACTCCTTAATATACTTTTTCTAAATTTGACAACATAACAGATATGATGTGACATGCCAAATTTTTTACTTTAAAAAAAAAAATTCCTTCACGGTGTACTTGAAAATGCGATAGTAGCAAGTATGATTTGAGATTTATTAATAAATTGCCCTAAGGAAAAAGGTGGGTGTAATTAGAGGCACCCGGAGCCATGTCCATCGTGGGCTAGGGTTTCATTCAGCAATCACAGACTATCGGTCTCGCACAACTGAAAACGGAGCTGCGAAAAACATGGCATTTTGGAATCGAATCAAGCCATTGAAGCTGAAAACCATCTCAATCCGGTTCGAAAGATGCTATTTTGAAATCCCTAGACCTTGTTTAGCCAATCACATTTGTTCGCGTACAAGAATTTTTGTTCTTGATAATCCAAATTCGGTTATTCACAAGAGCCACATCGAGTTTTCCAACTCTGTGAGGTTCTTCGCTGCCCCGATTCAGGTAATCGCTTAGTTGTTGTGATTCGATGATTGTTATTGGTATTGGGAATTGGGTAGTTAGTGATAATGGCATGATTGAATTTCAGGCAAAGCCGAAGCAGGAAGAGAAAGACACGAGCGGGCCACGGTTGAATGAGCAAATTATGGCGGAGTTTGTCAGGCTTGTGAGCGATGAAGGTATGTGTGATTTGATTCTGGCAAATTAATTTTTTTATTTTATTTTTATTTTTATCACATTGTAATTGTATATGTGGTTTGTCTGTCCAAAAAGTTGAAATTTTGTTTAGATATCTAGAATCACTTTTCAAATAGAAAACAACCCATATAGATCTTGAAACCCAAAAAAGAAAAAAGAAGAGATGGAAATTTTGAATCAACAGCTAGAGAAAAGAGTATTCCAAACACTATTAATGTCATTGTGTTATGTTACATTCATCAATTGTGCTCTAAGTTGGCCTCACTTCAAAGTTTTCTATTACTTGTGCTGGTTCTCTCTCTCTAAGGATGAGTGTAAAACAGTGAGAACAATCATTGTTTTATTGTGGAATTAGGGGTAAAGTGCAGACATTTTATGGCGTAGTTTTTTAAAGTTTTTGTATACTTGCAGGGCATAATGTAGTGTCAAGGCGTGAAGCTCTAGAATGTGCAAGGATTCGCAATCTTGATTTAGTTGAGGTAAACTTTCATCATCTTGTAAGAAACACATGGTGAGAAGTTACATTTGTCACAATTAACTTTCTTAGTTAGTTTGTTTACTTATTTTTTTATGTTCATGTTATAGATATGTACTATAGTTAGTTACAAGCTAGCTTAATCACCTTTTGGTTTTTGTCATCTCATTATGATGGTCTTTATGGCAAAGCTAGATATATTTGTACAAGTTCTAATTCACTTGATGTATGGTTTTAAAGGTTTGTACAAATGAATGATCATCCTGATTTTCTTTGATTCTATATAACTGATTAATTATCAGTCAACTTTCACATGCCACATTGGTTTGATTTCATAGTATATTCGCATTTGTAAAATTGTACCGTGAAGGTTTCTACATAATTAAAATTCTACAGTTTCAATCCTACAGGGTCTCAATAAACCCTCTTGTTTTGTATTCACAGGTTCAGCGAAATGCTAAACCACCTGTTTGCAAGCTCATGGACTACCATAAGGAGAAGTATAATCAACAAGTAAAGGAAAAAGACCGTGCTAAAAGCAAGGTAAGGGGATTTATGTTACTGTATTCAGTCTAAGCATCAGATATTTGGCAGATGGCAGCAATTTTGATGTTTAATATGACCTTTGCTTCACTGTACATAAATGCTTGATCTCTTTATTTCCCCTATATTGATTTGATCCTTCTTGCTTCTTGCATAAATGATAAGTGTCCTTTTACCATAAATGAATTGCCAACATCTCAACTGTTTAGTGGAAACTATGTTTCAAGCCCTTTTATTTCTTTTTTCCCCCCTATAAGAATTTGATGAAACTTGTGGGCATGCTTCTGAAGCCAGTTTGTATTTGAGAAAGGGTGTGTCATTGCTTTAGTGTTAATACTGCAAAAGTTTCAGGAAGCCTAGTAAACTGACCATGCTAAAATTTATTTTGGAATAACTTGGGGGAAAAAACAAGTTTTATTTTTGAATTAACATTTTTAGCCTTTCTTTTTTCTAGGAAGTGAGGAAAGTCGGAGGGTGGTTTCTCTTGTTTGTGAGTTTGTGTAGAATAAATTGACTTGTTATTATATTGGAGTTGGTTTCCCAACAATCATGAATGGTCCACACACAATTTGTTAGTTTCGTGTGAAGTGTAAAGTCATATTTTATGTTATCAAAATCTTATGATTTACGATTCGATTTTGCAATTTTTGCAAAATCAATACGAATTTATGAGTGAATCTATTTTAGAAGTGAATCTCTAGCGAATTGCACGATTCACAATCGATTCATGATTCGATTCACTTTTTACGATCTATGCAATTTTTGAAATTATTGTGTCCGGCATATTTTCTACTTTTTTTTTTCTCTCCATCTTTTTAGTGAAAATGACATAATATAACTTCTAATGGCCTTTAATACCAAGATAGCCAACATATATACATGATTTATTGTTATTTTAATGATTATGGAGTTTTTAATAGGATCCAATTAGATTCAGTCTGACTCAACATATTTTTAACATTTCTTTTCATTTTTTTTCCCCTTGAAAACATAATATATCTTCTAAAGATGTTTAAGATTAAAGTTACATTATGAATTATCTATTGCTATTTTATTAAATTGAATATTACATGTACGAGATCAGTTATACCTTTTAAAATGTTTTAGGCTTTAAAATAAAAAATTCTAAATAATTCTTTCTTATTATTTTCTCATTGTTACTTAGAAAAGTATGTATGCTAGTTGTCTAAATATCAATATCATAGTTAATTATTGTTATTTTGGAAATTGATAGTTTGTCTATTTGGTTATTATCTTTATTAAGAATGGTTGATAAGAAATATCTAAAAACGAAAAAAAATAAGATGGTGATCTTGCATAGGAACCTTTGTTAATTTCTTACCTATTAGACTACGTGATTATCATTCAAAATAATATTTTCTTTGATTTAAGTCTAATTATTTCATATTCATTAGATATATTTAACATCTAAATGTGTAGATATATGTTTTTAAGTAATTTAAAAAAAGTGACCGAATCTTTACGATTCACGATTCGATTCGCGATTCGGTACAAGGCCATTTCGATTCACGATACGAATCCTGATTTGACAACTATGGTCATATTGAAGAAGTTTAGAAAAATTTGCTACTTGTTACTTGGATTAATCTTGAATTAGCACCTTTGCATCTGGAAACAATTTTTTTCGAAGTCTCAGATGTTTAAACTTTTTATTCATCTTAGTACTCTTTGGAGTCCTACTGGTTGTATTTGAAATCTTGTTCTCAAGGCAACAACTTTTCCTTTAAGTGATTTTGGCTTTAGCTTCTTCTGTTCTTGAGGCTAACAATTGTGGATTCTTTCATTATTAATGATGGATTTGTCCACCAGTTCAGTGATATTTGTGGCATTGGGTGTTAGGTTTTAAATTGTTCTAATTAACATTTAGAAGTTAAATGGCAGAAATATGAAATATTCCATTAATCGTTGGCACTTTAATCTGGACTTCTTTACAATGTGACTAGTCGTTTCTCAGCTCTTAAAGACCTTGAAGTCCATTTTCATTAATAGTCGTAAGGTCAATAAACTTGTTATGCTCTTGTGAGATGAGAAAGCAACAAGTCAACCTCTAGGCATGCTGTGTTGTAATTTTACCATTGCATGATCAATTTGTTTCTTCTCTTTCTTAATGCAGTCTGAAGTGACTTTACGGAAAGGAGATTGCAAAGAAGTCCGGTTTTCTGGTAAAACGGTAAGTTCTTTATCCAATACCCTGTTCTTAGTTTTACATTTTTAAATTTTTACACTATTTTACTTCCTGAAGCTGTCATATCATACACCAGATACTGTTCTTTTACTGTTGATCATCCAATTCTCATGAAATCAGCTAAGATGGTCAAATGGAACCCACCTATATACATGCTTGTTTGAGCATTGAGAATTTATACTCCCATCCTGGAATCCCCATAGGACCAACCTTTGGGAGCTCTGGACTAGTGCAAGTCGTTTTCCGATGACAACCCCAGGCAGGTAGTTCATGGAAAGGCAAATTCAAAGGTCAATACTTTCAAATTGGCAGTTAGTTTCTTGGAACCTTTTTAGCCATCTGATTGTAATACTTATTGGTTCACTCATGTGGGAAGAACCAACGTCAAATCCACTAGTATTGTTACACGCAACCATACTTGTTCTATGGAGTGTTTCATTTCAGTTTTGGGGTTCAATTATGTTACACTCAAAAAAACCAAACAGAAATTTAGATCCCAATGAGATGATACTTTTATGTTGTACAAAATTAACAAAGACCTCTGGAGTAAAACAATACATACGGCCCTGAAATAGTGACTGATTGAGTGCATTTATTTATTTATTTTTAGATGGTAATGGTACTGATTGACTGCATTTAAACAATGCTAACAATGAAAATAAGATTATATCACTAATAATTAAAATAAAATGAAACAGAAATATTATGGAATGGATTGAGGACTTAAAGAATATGCAAGTCATGGATAAAACTAAATTTTCTGTGTATATGTATGGATGATGTTACATTTAGTTTCTGTTTTTGTTTCCAGGAACAAAAAGACCTTCAAATGAAAGCAAATACAGTTAAGAGATTGATGGAGCGTGGTTATCGGGTGAAGGTACTTTGCCCCCCTTCTCTTAGATATAATCTGCTGATTATTGTACAGCATATTTTAGTAGATAGTTGCATCATGATGTTTTTTTCGAACATGGAAAAGCTTGTACCAACTTTAAGAAAAAGACAGGTCAATTTCATATCCAAAAAATGCTCAGCAATAGTTGCGCAGACTTTATTTAAAATTCTGGTAATTTGAGAAATGGAGCTGAAGTTCTTGGGCCTTTTACCCCTCTTGCATTCCTTCCTTACTCGTGTAATTAATTGACTTGTCCTGATTTTCTTATGTATCTGCTTTGAACTCCAAGAATTAGTATTTTCCCAGATGATCTGAAACATGACTCCAACAAGGGTGAATTCACTAGTGTACTAGGGTGCCCGTGCTCTTATGATGGCCTATGCTAGCTGCATGGACTGCAGAATGGCATCGTGGTTGATTTGGCTTGTTTGACCAGGGCAATGTCATATTACCAGCATTGGAAACTTCAATTAGTTTCCTTTGAGATTCTATGTATATTGTGACTTGAGGTTTATAATTTATTGAGAATGACATTTCTCATGAGAATTATTGTCAGATATAACATATGTGCATTTCTTCATGGAAAATGACATTTGACACCGCATGTATTACACCATTTTATTTCACCTTCTATAGGTATCCACACAACACATGTCCAAATGTAGGACTCACTATAATAAATAATATATATATATATATATATATTAATGGGACCCACCATGACAAATAAAATACCACATAGGAGGTGAAGAGTTTTGGTGAAATATTTCAGAGATATATTGCAGTCCATTTATAATAGGTAACTAAAGAATGATGTTTGGCAGAAATGGCTGCCTATGTGCTGCACATTTTCAATGTTTTTGAATTCTCTAATCTCTTTTTTTTTTTTTAATTTTTATTTATTTATTTATTTATTTTTAACTAAAGAATGATGTTTGGGTTGCATCAACTATTGTGCTTCTTTTATAAGCTAATTATGTTGCCTTCGGTGATTCTTGAAGTGTATGGCTATGGGTACTGAAGAGCAGGACTTGGGAGGATTGTTATCTCGTCTCTCTGCTCTGGTATCACCTTGTCCTTTCTATTCTTCTTATAGTTCTCCATGTCCAAGGCAATGTTTGTTTCTTTCCTTTTTATTCTGCACCTTTACTATTAAAAATTTCATGCAGATTGAAGATGTTTCTATCATAGAAAGCGGACCCAGAGTTGAAAAAAAACAAGCATATGCTATTGTCAGGCACATCAAGTTTGGCCCATCGAAGAAAGGCTCAGGAAAGAAAGCTTCCAAAGTTGTTGATGCCACAAGTCCTGAGGTTCAAAAGGTTGCTACTCTCAATCGAAGTCCCGTCCACTCTAAGGATATTACAGAATCGGGATCAGAAACAGAGGATGAAAGCTTTTCTGAAGAGGTGGATACACCTATTGCCCGTAACATGACAAAGCCAGATAATGATATTGACAAGAAAAATCCCACCTGGTCAGTTGTTGATGCAAATGATGATTTTGACAGTGCTTTTGGTATTATTAGGGGTGATGCAACGATTGCAAAAAGTTCTAGAGATGTGCAAATGAAAATTGATTCTACAGAAACTGTTCCATCTTCCCTGTCGGAGGGTCTGCCAGGGATGGAAAATAGGTACAGAAGGGAGCCAAGGAACACGTACCCACCTACAAAACCAAGAGATTCAATGAGATCGGTTCCCCAACTTCCAAACCAACACAGGCTACAGCAATTTGGTTTGAATGCCTCACCATCAAGAAGAGAAACTGAGCGAGTGGAAACAGATGGCTCCCTATTTGGAAACGTGAAAGTTCCTGCTAATGATATTCCAAAGCAAGAACAGTTTCGCCTTCGTTCTCCCGGCTCCCCGGTGCCTAGCTTTGGGATTTTTAGCGCTCCAAAAGTCAATGATACATCTGAAAAAAATGGTGTCCCAGCGGCAGTCAATAGGTACCAGAAGGGAAATTCTTTTGATTCAACAAGACAGCCTAGGCCTCGAGGGGTTTCAGCAAATCCAAACTCACCCTTATCAAATTCCAGTGGTAGTGGAAGGTCAGGCATTGATAACGGTGGACAAGGGAAATGGGGAATATTCAGTGGAGAGAGCTCGAATGTGATGACCAGCAGAATCCATGATAGCCAAGCTAAGGCTCAATGATAATTCTGTGGCGACAATTCATAATTCAGGATCCTCGTTTACTTGTGGGTCGTGAGATGCTCATATTCGAGCATTATAGAATGTGTTATTTGAAGCATGGCCTGGTTTGTAGGTGCTGCAAAAATTTCACATGTTTTTGTAGGAAATCAATTTACTGATATGTAAGCTGATTACTCTTGATATTTATATGCAATTGATGTACAATTCATTTTTTTGGTGTTTTGGATTTTTCTTTTATGTGTGTAAATGGACGATTTGTATACAAACCATATAATAAAACTGGATTTGGAAGTGCTCTCATATCATTCTCTTGTAACAACCTTGAATGAGACTAAAATATAGAGGGATTTGATTACATTTCTTGTTGAGTGATCATTTTGAAATGCCAAATTTGTAAGTTTGAGAAAATTTTGGACGGATGTCTTGCTAGAATGACTATGTCAAGTGACGTGCTTGTATATTAGTGTGTAAAATGTGCATAAATTCCTACAAACAATCAAACACCCTGCTTTATTTGAAAGTTGAAACCAGCCAAATTTAATGAATACGAAACTTTTTGCAAATCGGTGGGGAGAACCTTTTACAATTGTAATACGAGTAAAAGGTAGAAAATTAATTAAATGCCGGTAGCTAAAATATTAATTTTGTTAAAATTGATGACTAACATATAATTTTCATTGAATTTAATGTGTAAAATATAATTTTTCTGTTAGTTTTACTTAACAATATATAGTGATAGTTTAGATTACAAATAAATTTAAAAAATTATAATTTAAATTAATAAAATAAAAATTTGAAGGTTTCTTCTTTTTTTCTTTTTTTTTTGTCAATCTATAAAAAAATAATTACAAATATAAAAAATATTTACATAATTAAATAGACTATTAGCCCCCAATTACTATAAAGTCAATAAAGGGGTTGTTTAGGGTGTCTTAAATAAGTGTACTTTTTATCTTTTTTGACTAAAAAATTGAGAAAAAAAATATGAATATTTGGGTTAACTTTTTGACTTTTTATGGAAAAATATGTATTAAAAAATTGTATAAATAAGTGTGTAGGAAAAAATTAGGATTGGGAGTTGTGCAGCCCGTAATTTTTGACTTTTGGTGAATAGTGATAGCTTTTTAACTTTTTGAATAATTTTTTGACTTTTTGACTTTTTTTCAACTTGTCAAACTTGGCCTTAATATACAAAGAGCACCAAGCTCAAGTCCGACTACCAGATAAACCATCACCACAATCCCGTAATCTCACACCACCAATGGTTGGGTGATTATCCAAATAATAACTTAGAACGCCCAATTAAAATTTTAAGGCTCTGTTTGGTTGTTAATTCAAATCAATTTTCAACACGTGAGCTCACGCATGACGTTTGAATACGACGTTCAAAAATTGATTCCGCGTGTTAATTCAAATCACATTTTGAAAATCTGTTTGGCAGCTTGTATCTCCCTTTTAACGTTTCTGCCTTCTTCATCGTCTCTGTAACTTTCACGTGAACTTCATCTATATCAGTCCTTCAGATTCATCACGGGTGGCTTCTCTGTATCAAACATTTGTACTTCAGATTCATCACGGGTGGGTTTCAGACTCATTTTATAAATAATGAATCCACTCAACCCGCTCTGTACTAGTATCATATTTCACAAATCGACTGAGTTACGATTTGTGCGTTGCGGACGATTCTTATTACGGGCAACCAAACAACGATGACTGCGAGGTGAAATTACTCACAAATTTATTTACATATTTTGTTATAGGGAAATTATTTGAGAAATTCATCTTAATTTAATTTTAATTTTTTCAGGTCAAATTTATCAAATTTATTGTCTAATCCGACAAGCAAACAGTGGCACATTCAATCAGTATACACATTCCATCACCAGCAATAACTATTCAACTCCTACTAATCTAGTAAATAAATCCTTTATCCTTCCTCTGTTATCTGAAAATGATTTCAGATGAGTCGATAAATGATTTCATTCTTCATCCTGAACTGTTTCAACTTTTTTGTTCTTCAAGAATAGTCAGTAGATCAATCTTCATCTATTATGTATAAATGATTTCGAAAGAAGTTGAAATCAGTTCCTAAATGGTTTATGAGAATTTGTAGAGGCGTTTTTTCCATTTCAGATCGGTTGTTATTTTAAATTATGAACTGTTTGAACCTTTCATCGATTAGAACCTGAAGCGGCAGTGTCTGGGACACCCGGCCGGTCGTCCCCAGGTCATCCGGCCGGTCGATTGGCCAGTCAACCACCTGGTCCTCCCACCTCTTCCGGTTTTCCATTTCTTCGTTAATGGTTTGAACCTACTGGTCTGTTTGAACCTACCGGGCTTTTTTACTGATTTGTTTTCCTTAATTTTTCTTTTACTGATTTGTTTCCTCCTATTTAAACACAATGTCAACTGTTTTTTTTATTTTTTATTTGTGGTTATATTTCTGCTATCTGAATGTTTTTTTTTTGTGGTTATATTTCTGCTATTTAAATTCAATTAATCTGCTACGTATGTTTTTTCCTCGAAATAAAATCATCTGTTCTTTTCCTTTATCTGTGTTCTCCTTCAAACCATTTTGACGCTGTTATTCTTGTATATCTATCGCAGACTACTTTAAAATACTCTATTATGCTTGTATATCCATCCCAAACTAGTTTAAATATAATTTGTATGTTTATAGATGAATGGAAATAATTTCGATGACAATGAGAACACCAAAATGTGGACGTCCAGAATTGAAACGAAATTAATAAATATGTTGACAGGTGAGGTTAGAAACAATCAAACAACGGGCCGTACTACTTCGTGGACAATTAGGCATTTGAATCATTATGCAAATCAGTTGCACAACATATATGGATTTCGGTATACAGGTGTCAAGGTGCGCCAAGAATATCAGCGATTGAAAGCTGATTACCAGACATTTAAGCGACTACAGGCACAAACTGATCTGGGATGGGATCCTATTATAGGCACTGCTGTTGCATCCGATGAATTTTGGGATAAGGTTTTCCATTAATCTGTACTATTTTCTAATTTTATTTTAAACATTTCATGATATATACAGTGCTTAATTCTTGTTTTGTAATTGTTGTAGGCTAGCAGAAATGTGAAGAAGTTTAGGACAAAAGGGTTTGAATATTTTCAAGAAATGGCAGAAATTGTTGAAAATTGTTGTGCCACAGGGGCCCTGTCTCGTGCATCCACACAAGGATCCCTTGACTCAGAATAAGAAGATGACATGTTAAATAAATTTTGGAACGCTGATGCTGGTGGGGGTAACACTGGTGGGAGTAATGTTGCTGAGGCCATTCCTGTTGACTTATTCGGGGATGAGTATATGGATCCAGCAAAGGGCAAAGGTCACAAGAGGGGCCCTGCAACCAGCCAGACTGACAATGGTCGTTCCAAAAAGTCACGGTCAAGTGGGTTTGATGATGTGTACGCAGCTTTCACATCCTATGTACAAGCCAAAACAGGACATTCACGTGCACGAGAAAATGAGACTGAGGCTGTAAGTGCAGGTAGTGATAATTATTCCCTTGATGCATGTCAAGATGCATTGCTTGAGCTTGGGGACATACCACCGTTGCAGTACGTTAGGGCACTGACACTGTTCAAGGAGAAGGAATGGCGAAGGTTTTTTATGCGCACTCCTACCCATTTGCGCCTAGCCATGATCCTCGCTTTGCAATGAACTGAGAAGTTCTGTTTTGCTTGTGTTAGCAAATCTTCTTGGCTGAACTGTTTGATGATTTCATTATTTCTGATTTGGTTTTTATTATTTTTTTTTCATTTCATCATGTCCTCTTTCCTTTTCTATATTCGTATGTTTTTTTTTTTTGTTGAACTTTTAAGTGTTTCCTGTTATATTAAAACTATGTTCTGTTATTATAATATGACCATGTGTTAAATAAATTTTGTTCTCCTTTGAATTTTACTGTTTCACCAATAACGCTAACTGTTACAGCATGAATAACATATTTTATAATTATGCTTTTATTATGATGTAGACAAAGGCATATGTCATCCGACAGAGAAAACAATACAATGGAGTTCTCATCAGAGGAGGATGAGGTTGTTGATGATTTTATGGATTTTTTGATGATTGCTTTAATGCATGACCATATCAATGCGTCAACTAGTCGCCGACCACAGCGAACGTGTCCATTCAGAGGTGATGATTACATCTTTGGCCTATTAAATGGCCATCCAGAAACAATGATGAACGTTATGCGAATAGATGCACAAACATTCATTTTATTGAAAGTTTATAACAAAATATAAGTTCACATGGGTGGTGGTGGGTGGTAGTGGCAGATGGGTGGTGGGTGGTGATGGGTGGTGGTGGCAGGTGGGTGGTGGGTGGTGGTGAGTGGCACAATGGGTGGTGGGGGGTGTGTGGGTGGTGGTGGAGGTGGGTGGGTGGTGGGTGGACACTGGGCGGTGGGTGGTGATGGGTGCTGGTGGTGGTGGGTAGTGGGTGGTGGTGGCAGGTGGGTGGTTGGTGTGGTAGGTGTGGTGGTGTAAGTTCACCATTTAAAAGTGTACAAATAAAAAATAAATAAATAAATAAAATATAATATAAATAATAATAATAATAATAATAAAATAAAAAATAAAAAAGTAAATTATATTTTATTGTTTTTATATCACCTGATTTTATAGCAAAATATTATTTTATATGAAGAATGTGTAAAAATTCGCTGGGTACATCTTCAAATAAGGGTGTATAATTTGTGTAAAACACTAGGGTATTTTTTTTAATTTCTGTACAGAAGTTTATATTAATTTTTTGTTTTTTCCTTTTCATTAAAAAAAAGAGTGTTTATTATTAAATATTATTAAATTGTAACTTGTTTTATTTAATTTCAGAACATTAATTTAATTTTATAAATTAATTGATGTAGACAAATTATTTAATAATTGTGTAATTTTTATTCATTTTATTCAAATGAAGGATTTCGTAGACATTTATGAAGTACTATATATTAATTTTTTTACATTTACATATTTTCAATGCATAATCTTTTTGCACAGATTATTATAACATTATAACTATATAATTAAATGATTCAAAAAAAAAAAAAACCCTCGTTGTTATTCATTACGTGAATAGAAAAGTTTATAACAAAATAACAAAAGTAAAACAATCACAACAAAACTCACCAAATAAATAACCAAAACAAAAAAAAGGGAAAAAAATATAACCACCATATATGTGAACCATTTTACTTGATTTTTAAACAAGTTAAGCATCCTTGTCAGGTGGTGTTGGAGGTGGAGGGAAATGTTGATGG